CCTATCTTGTTTTTCCTATTATCAAACCGTTGGCGTAAATAAAAAACCTTCATATCATGCCAGTATCAAGTGTTTTTTTTTTTTTTTTGTAAAGATAATGCCGATCATGATTTTTATTTCACCTATTTCGTGATTTTATGATTGTGATATATTTAATCAAAACACTGAATAGAAACAGTTTTTCCTCTATTCTTGAATAAGTAAGAAACATAACAGGAATCTTGGTTTACTTTATATTTTTAAAAGTGTTTATGTGGAATACTGATAAAGCCATTAATGTTTTATCATAGTCAACGTCTCAGGAATAAATTAGTTTGTTATGTGTTGAGATCCATAACTATGTTTTATTTTTCTAAGTTATGGGTTCTAGGGTCGGGTTTGTTTTAGTAACTTAAAAGACCATAAAATTCAATGGCATGGACTATCTTATCTCCTGCGAAGTGGAGGAGTGATGTTTTCCTAGGTATCGAAGGTTGTTCAATAGTGTTTTATTTGTTTACAGTCTCTGATCCTGCTTTGCTATTAGTTGTGATTGAGGGGCAGTTCTATTTTTATCCGTTATTTCTTTCTCTTGTTGGCTATTTCGGTATATCCGTTGTATTGTTGCTTCTCTCAGGATCCGCGTTGAGGGATAACTGTATGGCTTCATCTGCGTCAACAAACAAGCGCATAGTATCGAGAATATTTTTGCTTTTAATACCTTTTTTGTCATGAATGAGAACTTTAAAAATTTGTATATTTCGTAGCTGCTCTATATAAAAACCTATTTACTTAAACTGTGGTTTAGACCTTTTTGATTACCTAATACTGTTTGTGGAAGTATCATCTTTTAGTCATTCATGATAAACATGGGGGGGGGGCGTGAATTTTTTCACTTCATTTCTAATTTTTTCTTTTATCCCCTTCAATAGTTATTTCTGTTATACGAAAAGAGAGGGGGAGGGGGTTGTGGTTGATTCTCTAGGCATAACCAACCTATTCTAACCAGAGTGAGAACGTCGAGGTAGATTCATTCTGTGGGTCCGCCATGAAATAAATATTAGCTGGTCCGTACCGGAGTCGAACCAGCGCCGCTAGGCTCCAGGTTATTGACACACTCTTATCAATCAGGGCCTCACCATCTTGACTAGATATCAATCCTTGGTTTCCGTGTTCGTACTTACGTTCGCTAGGCTCAATAGAATTTTGCTTAAAACTGTAGCTTTTAAAATAGCTGTTAGGTATTTCTGAATACCGTTATCTAGTAACTAGTATAAATACGTTTATCTTATTCTTTAAATAAATCAAGATTAGAGCTGTACAATTTCATTATCACCCTACTCCATTTTCCAATTAAAATTTAACTAGTGATTTTTTTAAAACAATTTTCGTTCTCGATTAATGATAATTAAATACCATGAAGTAAAAATTTGTTTTTTCGGAAACTAGTTTATTAAAACATTTTCTAACTAAATTGTTTTACCTTTTTTATAATCTTGTGGTATAATAGTTTTGAAAAAAAAAAAAGAAAAATGGTTGATTTTTGATGAATTTTACGCCTCAAATCTTATTAATCCACTGTTGGTATTATGATGTTTAGCGAAGTTTTCTTCCTAATTACTAATTTCTCTTTTTACTATAATGACGTGGCATGTTTGTATTTAATGGTTGATTGGCTAAATTTTAATTGTATTATCCTTGATTGTTCTAATCAGTGTTTATTTTCCCTGTTTGCAATCAGAGTTTTAAAAGTTTACTATAATGATTTAATGTTCTGGATTTAATGGTTCATTTGCTAAATTTTAAATTTGATAATGCTCTTCATACTAATAAACGTTTATTTTCCTGGTTGCAATCAGACTTTTAAAAGTTTACTATAATTATGCAATATTTTGGATTTAATTGTTAATTGGTTAAATATTAAATTTGATTATACTCGATTATATAAACAAATGTTCATTTTCCTCGTTGCAGTCAGAGTTTAAAACTTTTTTCTTGGTAATAATTTTAATCAGTATCGCTCCAATCAACAGGTACATTTTATTTTTCTTTACATAAATTTAAAAGAAGAAGGGGGTAGGGAAAATATATTTTATACTTTTTTCATATTTTTTTTTAGATAATTTTTTAGCTGTTGTTTATAATGATGTATTTTACTTACTTACTTTTATTACTTTTCAAATCATTAAACGTATATCGTAAGTAGTTTATTGTTACTAGTATATTTGTAAGTATAAGGTCGATTTTTTTCCTGACTGAAGATTGTTGTGACATTTACTTGAGTAGCCCTGACATCTTGCGGGGAGCTCTGGATGGCGGCAAGTTTCCCTATTTAGACTAAGAATGGCGATGCCCCAGTCCCGGTGTAAGTTCATTCACTCTTTCTGAAGGCATTTCGTTATCCATTTCCTTAGGTCTTTACGTCATAGCTCGGACCATCTACCTGTATCTTTCGTTTCGAAGATTCTAAAATAGGTTACAAGAGAATCTACTGGGTATATTTTCTTTAAAATATTAGATAATTCTTATTTCTACAATAATCTCTGAAATGCATTTTTTTTTTTTTTTTTTTTTACGGAATATGAAAAAACAGATTACCACTTGTTAAATATAATTTCTACGTTACTCTATTGGTCATAAGTGCAGATTTTTAATTTTGATTAGAGAGACAATGGAACAAAAAAAAAAATATGGTAGGAATTTTTATGATGTGTAAAATTTAAACATAATTATTGTGAAACAAACCAATATAATATAGAATGTTTAAAATTCATTTGTATATATGTTTCTATAATTGTAAGAAATTTTATTTATTTTTTCGTTTTACTTTTTATATATAGTACTTGAAAATGTATAAAAAAAAAAAAAAATACAATTGTTCTTAAGATATAACATATTTGTTCAGATTAAAAACAGGGGGGGGGGAGGAAGGGAGGCAGCCTTCATAGGCTAGAACTATTTCAGCTAAAAATGAATAATGTAAATAAATGTAAAAAATCTTTGATTTGTTAGTGTGTACAACACAAAAATAAAAATAAACTAACTTCTCGCGGAAAATGTGATAAGCATATATCATGAAAATTGGGAGGGGATTGAATCATAAAAAACTAGGATATGTTGATATATATATATATATATATATATATATAAATATTAATTTTCATGATTAATTCATATGCGCATGTGGGAGCATATGAAAACGAAATTGTTTCCTAGTTATGTAAAACGAAAAGTAGTTAAAAAAAACGTAACGAGTACATAACTACATTGTTACTAAACAAATCAATGTTTCAACTCAGCAGAGTATAAGACGCCTGATTTTCATTTATGTATTATTCTATCGCGGTATTAATAATAAAAAAAATGTCTAGCTTTATCACCTTTTCTCAGTTTAATTTTGTATTTATTTATTTAGCAGCTTCTCTACCGATCAGTATACTCCTACATTAGGCAACTTGATATTTGAATCTTCTATATTTAACAAAAAGTATTAGAGATCTTTAAGTAGGCGTGAATTGTACGAAACGCGAAATTTGAATAAATTTTATTTCGAAAATGAGCAAAATGATATCAAATCGTATTAGCATATCAACAAACCTAAGATACTTAATTGTTGGCTGAATGTTGACTGTAGTAAATAATTGAAGAGAAGGATAAATAAAAATAAAAAATAGCAAAAACAAATAATAGTTTTTATTTTTACATTTGCCGACGTTTCGGGCCGAAGTTCAGGCCTTCATAAGGGCTGAGAAAAGAACCAGATAACAGTAGGTATGAGAAACATAAACAATGTAGGTAGAAAAACTTAAAGTAAAATGGAGTAGATATAGTGAACATTAAAGCAAAATAAAGTAGGTAGAACACTAACAGAGAACTAATGATTAATAATCACGGCTATAAAGTGCGGACTAATGAAGTAAACATAATCAAAATAAGGTAATATAAGAATAAACAGAGAAAAGGGATATGAAGTTATATAAGGAAATTATAGGTGTGAATAGAAAATTGAGATATTGTAAGATATTTAAAAACGAAAATTTAGTTTGACTGTCTATCTACTTATCGGGGCAAAGATTGGTAGTAAATTTCGCTCTAATTATTACAAATTGTATAAACGGACATGTGAAGTTCTTAGACTTATTTTTTTTATTTAAAAAAATACATATTGTTTAGAAGTCCAACGGCTCGGACAACAAGACGATATTGTTGGACCATGCTATATGTCAATGTACTTCTTGACGCCTAAATAAACAAATATTTCGTCGCTTCTGCAGTTTTGTTGTTGTGAGACGATGAGAATAATTGTATGGTACTAAGTCTGACTAATTATTCGACTTTTTCAATTATAAATTTATTGAACACATTTAAGCAGCAAGAATCATATTCTTATGAATGACCTATAGTTGTTCAAGAGTTTTAATAATTAAATTGGCTAAAAATATAGTAGAAGGGAACTTGATTCAGAAAAACTGAAAAACAGAAAAACAGAAAGAATTCAAGGAAGGCTGGTTTTAACTTTAAGTTTTCTTATGTATTTTTATTTATATAATCATAACTAAATTTCAGAATATTTTAATGTTTCAATGAGTGTCTGAATAGTAAAGATAAGTCTCTGTAATATTCAAGTACCAATGGCAGTTATTTTTATTTATACGTACCTTTCTGATGCCTGTGGTTTTGTGTTGCTAATTTTGAGATTTGGGTTTCTTATTTCAAACTGACGGACAATTATGAAAGTATCAATGGGTTGCACGGCAAACCTCATTTTTTACCACCGATTGTCTCCGAACATTTTCAAACTTGTGTGATCAAACCTTTTAAAATAGACCGGTCAATGACAGTTGATGTACCTCTAGAAATATATATATATAATATGTAATACTTTATTTTTCATAGCATAAATTATGACCATTTAAAAATAAATGTTCACAAATCTTACTGTAGTAACTTTATTTATTTATTTATATATATATTCACTTAACTATATTTGTTTATAATAATTATAATCTTTAATTTTTTAGAGAAAAAGAGAACAGCGGAAGACGAGTGACCCAAACCTTTCAAAATCAAACAAGTAAGTGGAAATACTTTAATAAGTAATTTATATCTATTGTTTGACAAACTCCTCGTTCTTTATGCTTAAGCTATGTACGTAAACTTTAAATGTGAATTCTCTATTTGGAAATATTTATACAACTGTATATTTTTTAAATTTATTTATAACCACCACTTGCAAAGGCAAATTTAAAGTACAGAAGATGCTCTTATTCACAATTGGAATTCAAATCTGGTAAAAAATTCAAATATTTCATTAAGTTATTTTTAATGGAACTAGGGCTTTCAACGGCTGGGATAGGTACTATTTGAAAAGTAAGTAAATTGCGACCTTTCCTACAACATTGCATATTCCCAGTAAGTGGACTATATATTTTTTCGATTTCCACCTGATAAAGAAAACAAAATAAAATAAATTAATGAATTTAAATCAACGATTGCATCTTAAAAAGCTTAAATGACACAGCGTTGTTTGTCTGGTGAAAATGTATGTACCATAATGGTAAAATGAACGATGATTTTTTTACAAATTTTTACTAATAATTTGTGAAGTACATTTTTTCGGTTGATTACTAATTTTACAAAATACATGGTGTATATTTGAGTACTTAATATGATTCACTTTAACTATTAATTAATTCAAGGAACTTGAAACTTGAACTTCACAAGACCATTATAGTGTTGTTATGGTGATTCTCAAACTAAGAGCAACTTTAAAGTTCCACTTGGGTAAAACGGTTACAAAGGATCGGTATGCACCTATGTTGGACAGTAATAGGTCCTCCAGAAACAGTTCTTTATGTTAGACATAGTGATTTAATTATATTGGAGCGTTTTAATATTGTTAATATGTTGCAATGAGCACTTTAATTCTCATTGTCAAGGCTCTCCTACGGCAAAATATTTTACATTCAAACACATTTGAATGTTACTTTCCCACATATCTCGGGAAAAAAAATTCTATATCTAAGACCTAATAAAATTTATTTCGATTATCTTTTTTTAAATATTTTGTTAGCTAAACTATCTTTCGAAAAATGTCACTGAAAAAAGATATTGTGAAAAATTAAAATCGAAAACAGAGAATTTTAGAGATTTCCACTATTCCTAAAATTGTGGCTTTCCTCAAGTTCAAAAGTCTGATTCCTTTCATACCAGAAGGCCTGGGAGAGCATACCTATGATGTGTTGAATTATGATTGTCATGGCTTGATGTACTCGAGTTCTTTTGTTTAGAAAAACAAAATTTTTTATGATCTTAATAAAGTAAAATCTTAAAGTTAATTATATGCAGATATTCAATTTTTAGTCATTTCTGTAAAGCTCATGTTGATTTTTTTAGGATTCTAATTGTCATGGCGATAACTAGAATTTCGAACACGATTATAATATTGCTTCCTCGGTACTGAAAGTAGAAAAACTTTGGAAATTAGTGAAACAATATTTTATCATTTCGTGTTTTACATTTCAGGGAACAAATCTTATTTCCATTCTGTCCATCAGTATTGAGATTCATCCAATGCGCACTCTTATCATCGCTAATATTTTAAGAAAATTTTCATAAATTTTGTGTGTCCATTCTCATTTTAATTTTATCAAACTTGCTCCTTTCCATTCATGAACGTTTTCGCTGACATGCTGACTATTCTTGACATCCTGATTTGATCAAAATTTGGAGAAAAGCTTCCATGTCTAGCTGCTATGTTCCATTCAATTTCATTTATATGTTATAATGTCTAAGATGATTATGTTTAATTCTTTATATAAACCTGTAATTAATTATAATTGTTGAAGAGAAGAATAGTTGGGGTGGTCAGTCAAAAAAGAAGGCAAAAATAAATGATAATATTTATTTTTTACATATGCCGACGTTTCGACCCGAAGTTCAGGCCTTCATCAGGGCTGTCTCCTTAAGTGTTGCAGGGAGAATTACGAGTTTTTAGACCCTAATTAAATAGACAAAGTTTGCCGACCTCCAGATTGAAAACGCTCCAATTCCGAGAATTTTCGGAAATAAAATAGTTGTAATTTACGATGAGATGAAGCTATATTCGAAGTTTCAGCCGGATGTTAATAATAATTAAAATGGGATCTGTACCACGGTATATAAATTGTACATTTTATGACGGGAAATCTTATCTGTTCTGTTTCATTTTAAATATTATAAAATAATCAATGATTTGAACTTATTCTTTTGTACTGTAGCCAACTCCATTAAACTTCCAACATAATGGCGAAGATTTTGTTGATTGATGTCAATAAAGCCTAATATTGTTATAATTCAAATTTCATAAAATTATTACTTTTAATAATTTACTTAATAAGTGATGAGCTTGTCCCACTGGAAAATATCCAATAATCCAAACTCATGAATCGACCCTCTTTTTACACATATTTGAGTTATTTCCTTTGGACTTCATTCCCACGTTTGCTTCATTGATGACTGATGCTCAATCATACTTTTCGTAAGTAATTCAGTTTCCGATACGGTCTTGAAAAAATGTCTTGTCGGCCGAAAAGATGTCATGTAAAAATATAGTTAACATAAGATGGTCCATGTTACCTGCGTCCCTCATGGTCTTTAGCTGCAGGAAACAAATGACCGAACCATTCCGCACATAAAGACAAGGTAACGGGAAATAATGGGAAAATAGATTATTTCTAAAAGCACGTCATCATACTCCACTCTACAAAAGTTAAATGGACTGTCCACTGCCACCTAAAGTGATTATAGCAACATGGGGGAAGTGGTTAAAAGCTACTTTGGTTTACGGAGAACATTTTCAAAACTTTAAAGATTTAATATTGCAACCTATAGACGATGCGCAAAACCACATTAAATTTCTATTTTTTTTTTTTTTATGCCTAAGGCAAATACCAATAACAAGTAGTCAGACCTAGATTTTATAAACGCTCATTTTCGTCATTATTCATAAAAATTAACGATTTTACAAAAAACACAAACAGACATACTTACATACCACCCTCGAATAACCGAAGATGGGCGACTTTATTACACGCAGGCACATAAAATTCTTTGATATCCTTAAATACTCGACAAACCCACTTTTTAAAACACTCACTCCACTTGCTCACAAACCTAATGCTATTACTAGACTGAGAAAATTGACATTTTATTTGCGAAAATTCTCGGAATTGGGGTGTTTTCAATCTGGAGATCAGCAAACTGTGTCTATTAGGTCACTAGGAACTAAAAACTCATGAATATCCAATTGCTTTACACTTGAATCGAAAGATAATATGATAAAGTAAAAAAAAAAAAAAATGGCCTACAAAAACATCGGCCCAATATCTTTGTGAACCACTTTTTTTTCCATTTTGTGATAATATCTTATGATTCAAGTGGATAGCAAATCGGAATTCACGAGCTTTTAGTACCTAATTAAATCGACAACGTTTACCGATCTCCAAATTGAAAATGCCCTAATTCTGAAAATTTTCGGAAATAAAACATATCTAGGTTACGATGTGGTGATGCAATTTGCAAAGTTGCAGGCGGATGGTAATAATTTGATAAAAAGGAGTCTGTACCACGGACTATTTTCCATTTGCTTTAATCTCTAGCCACAAGACACCAGATATCGTCTAGGTACTGTCATTTCGTCCCTCCACCTAAGATGCGACCGTCTAGTTTTCCTGTAGTATTTCTAGTTTTCTTTTTATTTTAATGTATATATTTTTACTTATGTTTTCTTCTTATTTTTTTTTCTTAGCTTGTATTTTAATTTGTATACAAAGAATGAATGTGAGCATAGAGCCGTAGTACCAAATGCTCTGGGTTGTGGAAGATTGTATTGTTATTATTACTCAAATGAATCTATCGAAAAAAAAAATAATATTTTGCTGTAGTTCTCTCTTGGGATCCACTCAGTGAATGCCTTGGACCATCTTTCAACTTTAATCCTCTCCATGTGTCCAACCCATTTCCACTTTAAATGTTGAGCTTCAACATTTGTTGAATAGTGACTTGATTATACATGATGATGTTGCCTGTTCATCGAATAATTTAGAAAGAAGTATAACTATCTCATCTGAGAGTTCTTACTGGGATATATTAATAATAATAAAAAGCTAAGCGAAGCCGAATGTTAGACGCCGACATAAGCAATCGCTTATTACACACTTCCCTTCACTGTTCGCCGGCCAAACCCAATCCCTTCAGATCTGCTTTAACGCAATCTTCCCACCTTCTCTTCGGTCTACCCCTCGGACATTTACCATTCGGTACAGCAAATATTAATCTTTTAGAGGAAAGAGATGGTTCGGAGTGGCGGTCATAAATAGGCTAAATAGTGGCAAAACTATTTTATTAAAAGTCAACGTTTCGTCCCGACTTTGCTGGTCTTCTTCACAGCTAGAACGGACAAGATACAAACGTTGGATTTTAATAAAATAATTTTGACTATTTAGCATATTTATACCGCCACCCGACCATTTTAATGTCGTTTAAATTTAAAAATGTTTAATTTTAATGTAATTTTTAGGACCACCTCATTCCTTTATAACGCAACGGTCAACTATTAAATATTCAATTAATCTTTTAGGAATTATTTTGTTACTAAGCCCTACAATTTTACAAGCCCATTTGATTCGTCGCGATTTTTTCACCTCAGTTATACTAACCGAATACAGTTCACGCATTTCGGCGTTGTGTAACCGTCTGAACTCTCCGGTTAACTCATCCTTCTTCGGTCCGAATATTCTACGCAATACTTTATTTTCAAAAAACATTAAGACGTTGCTCACCCCTTAACGTAACTGGTCACGATTCACATTCCTAAAGAACTGTAGTTTGGTCTAAGAAAAATAACAAGCATTTCCTGCGTTCAGGCTAACCTCAATCTCCTGTTCAATTTTGTTTTTTTCTTGTTATCATAGGCCCTAGATACTTAAACTTCTCTATTACCTTCTATATCAATATCGTCATTTTTGCATTTAACGAAACATTTTGTCTTACACGGGGATATATTAGTTTTAAAAAATTTAAATCTGAACTCTA